CTGCTTAGCTGTGATAGTGAACGGAGAGGTAGAGGTGTGATGGCGTCGTCTGGCATTTGCTGCAACACGTGGGCCCGAGCGTGGCGTGGGAAAGTGAGAGGACCACGACCGCTTTCAACACAAGCTGCAATTCCAATTAAATGTACCAATTGTTTACAATTGGTACATTTAATTGGAAACGGTCTTGTAAACAGCAGTTTAGTAACCCTAGACCCTTTTTAAAGTTGGCTGTTGTAGGGTCACGAGCCGTAACGAACGATAGGTAACACACTACACACTCTCCCCCCCACATACAGTACTACCACTACACACTGTTATGATCTCAGCCTGCAGGAGAAACGAGTCTCCCTCCTTGAGAGTTATTCATCAAGCCTGACCTGATTAGAAGGTCTAGCAAATATTGAGGTGATAACGCATATGTAAAATAGTTGCTAGGATATGTATAGCAATTTGAGATTATGGGCAATGAAGAAGAAAACAGATAAATGACTGGCTAGGAGATGTGGACATTTTGCTGGAGGCATGAGGCTCGCTTCTGGAAGGGCTTTGACCTCACTTGAGGCCAGACATCGCAGGGGAAAAGCCGCGCTCCGTTGAGCTCCCGCCAGAAGGGAACCCCTAGTGATATATCTCGAAGAGAAGAGAAGTGTGTAGACGTGCCAGCTGTGGAACTGAGCTGGGAACGTTGTGGTCTCAAGTCCTGGTCGAAGAAGAGAGTATCAAGCCGGCCAGAGACATTATTGTGGGCCGTGGAAGCGCCCTGACCAAGCCTTGTCAGAGGAAGGAGCGCCCTCGACCAGACGATCTGTGGTAAGCACGATATACGCCAGTTCATAGTGATTGCTTGTAGTTGGTCGTGTGCCCAGCGACAGTAGCAACAGTTATTGATAAGTTAGACATGTTTTAATAAGGCAGAAAGCCTGAAATAGGAGAGTGAAGAGGGAGGAGCACGGAGCGACGTCCGTCCCATCTGAGCTCTGACAGACGACTGAGGGAGCCCGGCTCCTGACGGAGGAAGACCCTCCCAGCGAGTGAGGACCGCCGCCGGGCGAGGTGGAGTATGGACCCGCCCAAAACGGGGGAGTCCACTCTCACTGTATGTAGAGGACAGATAGAGGTTTGAGGCAAGCATATTGTGTGGTTATGTTTGTTTATGTGTTAAAGGGGAAACATTTTATTGGAGTGTCGATGGGTTGCAGGTTTGTCTTTGGGGAAGAAGTTGCTGAGAACTTCGAAGCCAGCACAGATGAAGTAGCTGATGAGACTCCAAGGTAGTGGAGAAGAGGACCTCGAGCTGTGAGGAGAAGCGGTGAAGAGGAGTGTCACGTGCTTCTGTAGAGGTGATGAAGCACCATAGTTGCTCGAGGAAACTTCATGGTGTACCAGCCAAGAGAGCTGTGGAGGAACCTAGCAGAAGTAGCAGAGCACCATAGTTGCTCGAGGAAACTTCATGGTGTAGCAGCCAAGAGAGCTGTGGAGGAACCTAGCAGAAGGGTGAAGCACCATAGTTGTTCAAGGAAACTTCATGATAGCAGCCTGGAGGAGCTGCAGAGGATCCTGGTAGTGAAGCCCGGAAGAACCTAAAGATATCAGGGTAGTGAACTTCCAGAGGTGGAAGGGAAGTTCTGGTGGATTACTTGTAGGGAGTTGATAGTGTTTGGTTGTCATTAGCGTGCAAGACGCAGTGAGAGGTGAGTGATTGTTTGCATTCTTATGTCAAGGAGTGTTTTATACTGAAGTTTAGAGTTGCAGGCGTAGGCTGGATTACCTGCAGTTGTATGCGTTCTAGGACTGATAGGGTGATCAATTGATCATTGCGGTGTATCAAGGAACATTTATGCCGATATATGTTATTGCATTCACATGCTGATTTTCATTGTACACATTTATAGATATATATATATATATATATATATATATATATATATATATATATATATATATATATATATATTTCTCTTGTTGCTAGTGCAACAATGTAGACTTGATCAACTTAAGGAGGTTGATAGTATCAGGTGGTGAACCAGGAGATAGAATACCACTTGATAAGCTGATGATAAAGTTCTGATGGTGTTGGAGTGCAAACTAATTGTAATATTATAGAGTATAGGATACATTATTATTACATGTGTGTATGTATCGTGTATGTGCTTTGTCCAGTAAATGTATCCCAATTTGCTGGTGTTTGCCCTTGTCCTAGTGAGGCTTCCCCGGAGGTAGTAAAGAAGGAGAGAGAGAGAGAAAGAACCAAGAACCACTGCTGTGGACAGGGTAGAAGGTAATACTAATAAGTCAAAAGGGGATTGAGGAGATCATATCACCTAAGGAGAGAGTGGGGAGTCACAGCGGCTCGAGTGGGTGTGTGCACCTGACAACGAGGCTAAGTGTTGGAGCCGCATCCCCTAAACGTGTGACGTTGAGCCCCTCTCCACACTCTCCCTAACACACAGTACTACCACTACACACTCTCCCCACACACAGTACTACCACTACACACTCTCCCCCACACACAGTACTACCACTACACACTCTCCCCCCACACACAGTACGACCACTACACACTCTCCTCCACACACAGTACTCCACTACACACTCTCCTCCACACACAGTACTACCACTACACACTCTCCTCCACACACAGTACTACCACTACACACTCTCCCCCACACACAGTACTACCACTACACACTCTCCCCCACACACAGTACTACCACTACACACTCTCCTCACACACACAGTACTACCACTACACACTCTCCCCCACACACAGTACTACCACACAGTACTACCACTACACACTCTCCCCCCACACAGTACTACCACTACACACTCTCCCCCCCACACAGTACTACCACTACACACACAGTACTCCCCCCCACACACAGTACTACCACACACTCCCCCCCCCCACACACACTCTCACCCACTCTCCCCCACACACAGTACTACCACTACACACTCTCCCCCACACACAGTACTACCACTGCACACACTCCCCCCCCCACACAGTAATACCACTACACACTCTTCCCCACACACAGTACTACCACTACACACTCTCCCCCACACACAGTACTACCACTACACACTCTTCCCCCAGTACTACCACTACACACTCTCCCCCACACACAGTACTACCACTACACACTCTTCTCACACACAGTACGATCACTAAACTCTCTCCCCCACACAGTACGTCCACTACACACTCTCCCTCCACACAGTACGACCTCTACACACTCTTTCCCAACACAGTAAGACCCCTACACACTCTCCCCCACACAGTAGTACCGGTACACCCTCTTCCTACGCACAGTACGACCACTACACACTCTCCCTCCATATAGTACAACAAATACACACTCTTCCCCACACAGTACGACCCCTACACACTCTCCCCCACACAGTACTACCACTACACACTCTCCCTCCATATAGTACGACAAATACACACTCTCCCCCACACACACAGTACTACCACTACACTCTCCCCCACACAGTACGTCCACTACACACTCTCCCTCCACACAGTACGACCACTATATACTCTCCCCCACACAGTACTACCACTACACACTCTCCCCCACACAGTACGTCCACTACACACTCTCCCTCCACACAGTACGACCACTACATACTCTCCCCCACACAGTACTACCACTACACACTCTCCCCACACGGTACTACCACTACACTCTCCCCCACACAGTACGTCCACTACACACTCTCCCTCCACACAGTACGTCCATTACACTCTCTCCCCCACACACAGTACGACCACTACACACTCTCCCCCACACACAGTACGACCACTACACACACTCCCCCACACACAGTACGTCCATTACACACTCTCCCCCACACACAGTACGACCACTACACACTCTCCCCCACACACAGTACGACCACTACACACACACTCCCCACAGTACGACCACACTACCCCACACTCTCGACCCCACACAGTACGACCACTACACACTCTCCCTCCACAGTACGACCACTACACACACTCCCCCACATAGAGTACGACCACTACACACTCTCCCCCTATACATACGACCAATACACACACTGGGCCACACGGTACGACCGACGGTCTCCCCCCACACAGTACGGCCACTTCACACTCCCCCCCCACACAGTACTACCACTACACACTCTACCCCACACACCTTACTACCACTACACACACTCCCCACACACACAGTACTACCACTACACACTCTCTATACACACAGTACGACCACTACACACTCTCCCCCACACATTACCCACTACACACTCTCCCCCTGACACAGTACGACCACTACACACTCTCCCTTAACACACAGTACGACCACTACACACTCTCTCCCACATACAGTACGACACTACACACTCTCCCCCTACACAGTACGACCACTACACACTCTCCCCCACACAGTACGACCATTACACACACTCCCCCACACACAGTACGACCACTACACACACTCCCCCACACACAGTACGACCACTACACACACTTCCCCACACAGTACGACCACTACACACACTCCCCCACACAGTACGTCCACTACATACAGTCCATCATACACAACCTGTCCCCAGAGGCCCACAACAATAGGATATCATCAGCGGCATATGCTATTTTGGCCAACATATGAACTGCTTTTAAAAACTTGTGTAAGGAATAGTTCTGGACCCTGTATACCACTTATGTCAGACCAATCATGTAATATGCATCTCCAGCCTGGAGTCCATACTTAGTTAAACACAGGATAAAGTTAGAGAAGATTCAGTGGTAAGCCACCAGGCTCGTCCGGGAACTGAGAGGAATGAGCTACGAGGAAAGGCTAAACGAGCTGAATCTCACGTCCCTGGAAAACAGAAGAGTAAGGGGAGACATGATCTCCCCTTGACCTATAAAATTCTCAGTTCTAACCTAACTATAAATCCACAAGTGGGTTATAATATTACTTAATACCTACTGTTACTGTTTCTTTAAATTTTTCAAAATGACGAAACCCAAAATCATTTGGCTGGGTTTAGTTGTGACGGTGAGCTTGAGTGTGCTCACTTACAGTGTTACTGTTTCTCATACCAGGCAAAATGCTCTAATTAGAGCGGCCCGGGCGGAATCCGAGACCCAGTTCGCGCAGACCAATGGTTGGGGAAGTAAAGCAAGGAAGCTTCCCCTGATCGGCCGTCTGGTCTCGTCTCCTCCATCCTGCTCCTTCCCGGATGAGATCCCCGTCTGGCGGCTGGTTATGGCTAGCCTGATGAAGGGAGCCATCCTCGCTACTACAGTTTCTGTCCTTCTATCCCTGCTGAAAACTTACTTTGCTTGGCCTCATTATGGTCTTAAGCCCGACGATATGAAACACAAATCAGACCAAAAGGTCTCCATAAAAAAGAAACACAAAAAAAAGAGACCAAAGTCTTTAGAGGAAAAGGCGATAGAGGAACAGGCGTTGGAGGAAAAGGCACGTTTGAAGGAGGAAAAGGCACGTTTGGATGAGGAAAAGGCTTTAGAGGAAAAGGCACGTTTGGATGAGGAAAAGGCACGTTTGGATGAGGAAAAGGCTTTAGAGGAAAAGGCACGTTTGGATGAGGAAAAGGCTTTAGAGGAAAAGGCACGTTTGGATGAGGAAAAGGCTTTAGAGGAAAAGGCACGTTTGGATGAGGAAAAGGCTTTAGAGGAAAAGGCACGTTTGAAGGAGGAAAAGGCACGTTTGGATGAGGAAAAGGCTTTAGAAAGGAAAAGGCACGTTTGGATGAGGAAAAGGCTTTAGAGGAAAAGGCACGTTTGGATGAGGAAAAGGCTTTAGAGGAAAAGGCACTCTTGGATGAGGAAAAAGCTTTAGAGGAAAAGGCTTTGGAAGCTTTCTTCGCCGACGTCGCCGCCCGCGCGCAGGAAATAATAGAGTTATAGTAGGACTACTTCAACTAGCTGAATGATGAAACTTGTAACGAATATCAAAGTTTTTGACCTCAAATTTACCTCAACGAGTAAATCCGGATCGAGAATGAGCGACAGCAATGGTAAGTGCATTTACCTATGCGACACAAGACTGCAGAACAGAAAAAGTTAAGGAAAGGGAAATGAGAGAGCCCAATCGGTTAGTGTGCCTAAGGGGGCATTTGAATGGTTTTCGATCCAAATATGCAATAAATGAAAACTGGTTCGATTTCAATCAAATTTTTTTGACGAGTTTTATATGAAAAGAGTTTCATCTTGTCCAAGTCTCATCATCGAAGCATAAATAGGAAGGGAGAAAAAAATATTGAAGTAGGTGTCAAAATTATTCCAAAATGTTCAAAAACGATTATCAAACACAAGTGTCAACTGAAATCATACCTATGACTCTCAGCTATCACAATAGCATATATTAGAAGAATATTATAATTAGTATTATTAGAAAAATAATTAAGTTAATAAAAAAAGATCTATTTTTTTCATTTTTTTTTTATCGGATGATTTGCATGAAACTTATACACCTGACTGCACGTAAGCCTATCTGTAAGGTGCCAATTTTGGAGGAAACTGGTTCATGACAACCTCAACCACAGATGGCAGCACCTTAGACTTTATTATTTTCTTATTTATTTTCATTATTTTCAAGGAACATAAAAGTTCTTGTCACTCATTCATTTGTTATTCAATTTACATGAAACTTACACCTTATATGTAAAGTTTATGTCTCTAAACTCCGAAGGAAGCGTTTTTTCCTAAGTTCATTTATTGATTTTATAATAGCAATAAACATGACATATATGCATAATTTTTTGGGGGGAACTTTGACTATTTGTATTAGGAAAACTAAAGATGTTTTGAAAACTCCTAAACTTCAGATCCTTTATTTATGTGTCAGAAAAGTGTCATAGAATGATTATATCTGAAAAGGTGAAGGGTGTGAAGTCACTTGAAAATGTGTAATTTTTGTTGAAAAAAAATTATATCTTCCTTACCACTCCTTCAACCATTCCCATCCCAAATCCTTATCCTGACCCCCCCTTCCAAGTGCTATATTGTCGTAATGGCTTCGCGCTTTCTCCTCATAGTTCCATTCCATTCCCTTTCTATTTAGGCTGCAGTACTGAAACTTTGAACAACTTTTCCAAAACCATTCAAGTGCGCCCTATGGACTACCTATGAAGAAAAGACGAGGGACAATGAACACTGCCCAGCAGAGTGCCAGTGGTGTCATCCCAGGGTGCCATCCTAGGGGTGCCAGTGGTGTCGTCCCATAGTGCTAGTGGTGTCATCCCAGGGTGAAGGTGGTGCCATCCCAGGGTGCCAGTAATTACCTAAGTGTAATTACCTAAGTGTAGTTACAGGATGAGAGCTACGCTCGTGGTGTCCCGTCTTCCCAGCACTCTTTGTCATATAACGCTTTGAAACTACTGACGGTCTTGGCCTCCACCACCTTCTCACCTAACTTGTTCCAACCGTCTACCACTCTGTTTGCGAAAGTGAATTGTCTTATATTTCTTCGGCATCTGTGTTTAGCTAGTTTAAATCTATGACCTCTGGTTCTTAAAGTTCCAGGTCTCAGGAAATCTTCCCTATCGATTTTATCAATTCCTGTTACTATTTTGTATGTAGTGATCATATCACCTCTTTTTCTTGTCTTCTAGTTTTGGCATATTTAATGCCTCTAACCTCTCCTCATAGCTCTTGCCCTTCAGTTCTGGGAGCCACTTAGTAGCATGTCTTTGCACCTTTTCCAGTTTGTTGATGTGCTTCTTAAGATAAGGGCACCACACAACCGCTGCATATTCTAGCTTTGGCCTAACAAAAGTCGTGAACAATTTCTTTAGTATATCGCCATCCATGTATTTAAAAGCAATTCTTAAATTAGAAATCATGGCATAGGCTCCTCGCACAATATTCTTTATGTGGTCCTCAGGTGATAGTTTTCTATCTAGAACCACCCCTAAATCTTTTTCTTTATCAGAATTCTTTAAAGATTTCTGGTACCATCTAGCCAGTGGTACCATCCCAGGGTGAAGGTGGTGCCATGCCAGTGGTGCCATCCCATAGTGCCAGTGGTGCCATCCCAGGGTGAAGGTGGTGCCATGCCATTGGTGCCATCCCATAGTGCCATCCCAGGGTGAAGGTGGTGCCATGCTAGTGGTGACATCCCATAGTGCCAGTGGTGCCATCCCAGGGTGAAGGTGGTGCCATGTCATTGGTGCCATCCCATAGTGCCAGTGGTACCATCCCAGGGTGAAGGTGGTGCCATGTCATTGGTGCCATCCCATAGTGCCAGTGGTGCCATCCCAGGGTGAAGGTGGTGCCATCCCATAGTGCCAGTGGTGCCATCCCAGGGTGATGGTGCCAGTGGTGCCATCCCAGGGTGCCAGTGGTGCCATCCCATAGTGCCAGTGGTGCCATCCCAGGGTGAAGGTGGTGCCATGCCAGTGGTGCCATCCCATAGTGCCAGTGGTGCCATCCCAGGGTGAAGGTGGTGCCATGCCATTGGTGCCATCCCATAGTGCCAGTGGTGCCATCCCAGGGTGTTAATGCCAGTGGTGCCATCCCAGGGTGAAGGTGGTGCCATGCTAGTGGTGCCATGTGCCAGTGGTGCCATCCCATAGTGCCAGTGGTGCCATCCCAGGGTGAAGGTGGTGCCATGCCAGTGGTGCCATCCCATAGTGCCAGTGGAGCCATCCCAGGGTGGTGCCAGGTGGTGGTGCCATCCCAGGGTGCCATGGTGCCATCCCAGGGTGAACGTGCCAGTGGTGCCATTCCATAGTGCCAGTGGTGCCATCCCAGGGTGCCAGTGTTGCCGTGACAGTGGTGCCATCCCAGGGTGCCAGTGATGCCATCCCAGGGTGCCAGTGATGCCATCCCAGGGTGCCAGTGGTGCCATCCCAGTGGTGCCATCCCAGTGGTGCCAGTGGTGCCATCCCAGGGTGTGGTGCTATCCCATGACCCATCCCAAAGGGTGCCAGTGGTGCCATCCCAGGGTGCCAGTGGTGCCATCCCAGGGTGTTAGTGGTGCCATCCCAGGGTGCCAGTGGTGCCATCCCAGGGTGCCAGTGGTGCCATCCCAGGGTGCCAGTGGTGCCATCCCATAGTGCCAGTGGTGCCATCCCAGGGTGCCAGTGGCCATCCCACGTGCCAGTGGTGCCATCCCAGGGTGCCAGTGGTGCCATCCCAGGGTGTCAGTGGTGCCATCCCAGGGTGCCAGTGGTGCCATCCCAGGGTGTTAATGGTGCCATCCCAGGGTGCCAGTGGTCCCATCCCATAGTGCCAGTGGTGCCATCACAGGGTGCCATCCCAGGGTGTTAATAGTGTCATCCCAGGGTGCCAGATGTGGGTTATTTTTTCTAGCATGCATTTGTTTTTAATTTGTTTTTATTAAATTATTGATTTCTTAAATTTGTTTTATTAGTATTAATTCAAAGTGGACTGTATTGAAAGTATATCCTGCTGGTGTTTACCTTGACACAAGTTTGTGGAAGAGGTGGGGGGTTTATACATAGCTTATACCACATATAGTGGATATTAATAAGCTACAAAATTTAATGTTAGTACTACAGCTAAAATGGGTTAATTAAATGTTATTATTTCTGACCTGTTAAGTTGTAATAGCCTAATAATAGGCCGTAGACATTATCAGGCACGAATGTGGGACTTCTATGGTGTGAGCCGTAATGGTGACTGTGACTGCTTTCTGTTGCACTAGGATGACTCGATGCAATGCTGCTTCCTCTCTTCTGATCGTCACCTGCCGAGTTATTTACCAGTAGTAAACTGTCACTACTAAGCACAGCATATAGTAGAGAAAGATTATATTTAATTAGAACAACAGCTTACCAGTTCTGTGTGTTGTATGTGTATCATAACCGGCAAAATTTGAACATAAATTGAATGGCCATTAACTTAAAATATAAATACACAACTAATTTAACCAGTTACAATACTTCTCAAGGTTAGCGAGAACTTCGATTAATCGGAGACTTAGTTGTTCATTTGTCGAAGCTCGTGGGAAGTGTTTGAGATCTGTATGTTCCGACTGGAGAGGGAGTTTACTCTCTGTATGTGGTCGCCTGTATGACCATGCACATAATGGCCGTCGAGTCTTTGTTTACATTCTTTCTGCAAGCTTTCCTCCCTGGGAGCGGCGTCTCCCAAAAATATGGTTCTATTTTTTGATGTATTGTCTTAGGGAGGTAGACTTTAGTCTCATTGATAATTATATTAGATCCAATCATAGAGAAAACTTTTTTATTAATTCTAATGTGTAGACTGGTAGTTTAAAGATAAGTGATGAGTCTTAAATATATTTTGATGACGCCACGGATCTTTCATTCTCTGTAATCATTTTATGACTCACCAATGTTAATATGTTAGTGTCGGATTTCCGACATAATTCGGGGGGGGGGGGGGGGAAGGAGGAGGAGGAATTATCAGGGGAATGCGCCAAGCCATTACGACTATACAGCACTTGGAAAATATGGTCAGGATAAGGATTTGGGATGGGACGGGGGAAAGGAATGGTACCCAACCACTTGGACGGTCGGGGATTGAACACCGACCTGCATGAAGCGAGACCGTCGCTCTACCGTCCACCCCAAGTGGTTCTTAGGAAACACTGGTCGAAGTCCAATTATTTGGACTACTGAACACTTCATTCCTCTCCTTCAGAATTATAATACTGTTTTAATTTTAACTTGAACTGTTGTGTGGGAGTCCTTTCTGAACATTTGATTTTTTTATTGTTGCCGCCGAAGGCGGCTAATTCATTGTGCACCCCATACTCATCATGTGAGCGGTAGCGCAAAAGCATTACAGAGGGCACAAAAGGTCTTTATCAGACCTCATCTTAGATTATTACATAATCAATTTCGTCTATCCTTCACACCTTATAGTTACAATGTCAGCTAGTTACACTGAAAGCGCTATTTCAAGAGCTATATATTTACAATAAGTCATCATACATTAATGGTAGGTCTTATCGCTAATGCATAATAGTTTGACCAATGGCGATATTACAGAGTCATAGGGGAGCTTCTGTTTATTATTAGTCCTCACAGTACACTACTTGTTTCTGAATTTCATATGTCGTTCATCTACTGGAAGCGAAATGTGAATACAGTGCAAGGATTTCAGGTAATTTGTCCATGGTAATAAGATAGGTTGCCATATCATACAGAGTAAGCTTAGATTTATCTCTAAATAGCTCAATTTTACTACAATCTTCGATATAGTGTTCGAGTGTGTGTCCCTGTCTTTGTCCACACACTTTACACTTTACTTCATCTAGATCTCTATACAAGCCGAACTGCCAGAGATACTTGTAGCCAAGTCTTATACGAGCTGTGACAACATCTGTTAGTCTACTGACTTAGTTACTTGCCCCATACACATGTTTTACTTCACACATTTCATTGTGATGAACAATGGACCTGCTAGTTCCAGT